ACAATGAAGACAGTGACTATGTCAGGCAAAAAAGAATGTAGAGTTTTATATGGTTTATCCCAGTGAGAATCAAGAGCAAAGATACTAATACTTCTGTCAGCCTTTGGACGATCAAACATTGCAGGCACCAGTTTCAGTCTCTTCAGGAGGGTGTAGTGCCCCAGTCTGAAGGAGCTTGATCAGACAACTCATTTGGTTTGCAAACAGGAAGGGCCACAATCCCAAGGAACAGCTGGGAGTAAAAACTCATTGATAGCTAGAGAACCCAGGTCTGTGAAGGCAACCCCCAAAACAATCACTGACAGTCACTGACAGTCACACTGCACATGATGATTTCTCATGCCCTGTTTGAATGGCTCCTTCTGTCCTTCACAGAAAGGAAGCTTCCTGAGGTGCAAATACACATGCAAAACAATTAACAATTAACATGTTCCTTTGTATGGCAAAACAGCAGGTTCACAGATGACAACCAAGTTCTGAGTTCTGCGTAGGCATTTGCGTTTGGTGGGAGGCTTTGGTCTATGAGCTGACCTGAACTTTATATCCTTTTGGAAAGGCTCAAGTGCTTTTTTTTTTTTTATTCTCAGGTGTCCAAGGCTCAGGTAAGCAAGAGTTTGTTGGTTTAGGAACAGTTCCACAATGAAGTGCCTGTCAGAGCAAAGGGCAACAGAGTCTTAGCTGACCTCTTCCTTTGGAAAAGTATTGTCAAACAAGGATGTGTGACAGAACTGTTTGTACTGCTTTGTACAGCTGTGCTGGACAAGGCAATCCGTTACTGATTGTAAAAGGCAGCTTTTGAACTGCAGAAGGGTTTGTTTAATATCTCCAGACTCCATGCCAAGCAGACTACAGTAGACCAGTTGTATATTGATGACTCTACACTGATGGGATACTGTGATTGAATTCTTCATTTGTTCAATGAAATAATTTTGTTGCTTTTTCAACTGGTCCCATAGTATCCATAATTTTGAACATAGGAAGCCAAAATCAAAACAGTCCTCTCAGAGAGTGGACAGTCCTTTTTTTTTTTTTTTTTTCCTCATCCACTAGCAAAACATAACTTCCCACCCTCCATGTCCTTGAACATGTCCAGGAAGCATGAACATATGTCATGTGATTGTGATCATCTTGTCACACCCTAATATTGCAAGTATAAAAATAATTCCATGCATATTCCAGACATATTTTCTCCAATCTGTGAATTTGATTTTTACATAGTGCCCTGGTTTTGTATCTAGATAACAGTTTTATTTGCATTTGTTCCACAGAGTTTTGTTTAATGAGACACACAAAAGGCATATTTTATCTTCAAGAAATGGTTGGTGGTTCAAAACAAAACAAAAATCATCAGTGTGATGATACGACAAAATGATCACTGGGAAAAATGCAGATGCTGGATATATTTATATATACTAAAATAAAGGCCACCTGTGATGGGACTGTGACTCAAATCTGGATACTTTTGTGGTTCCTATATGATAAAGTACATCAAAGGAATAGGAATCATGGTTGTCTAGAAAATCGGTTCAGGTCATATTTGGAAAGTGTATTGGGCAGGTCTTGTATGTACTCATAGAAAACCAATGTGGGAGAAGTATTAATGAATATTCTGATCATACAGTATTAATGAATATTCTGTGATCAATCTGTTCTGAGCAGATAAAGATATGATAAAGGCAAAGATAAAGGGATAAAGAATGAAGATGCTTCTGAATGGTGTAGGGGCCCTGTAGACAAAGGATACAGAGAAAGAAGAGAAACCAAATGCCACCTTTGTTTCATTCTTTACTGGAAGACCAGCCATCAGGAGTTCCAGGTCTTGGAGACCAGGGAGAAAGTCTGGAGAAAGAAAGAATTTATTTTGGGTGAGGAGGATTGGGTTAGGGATTAGTTAAGCAAATTGGACATACACAGATCCATTTGGCCCTGATGGGATGCTCCCACAAGTGCTGAGGGAGCTGTCTAATATTATTTCAAGGCCACTCTCAATGATCTTTGAAAAATCAGGTACAGTGCCTGAGGACTGGAAGACTAATGTCACTGCATTTTCAAAAATGTCCAGAAGGAGGACTCAGGGGACTACAGGCCACTAAGCTTCACTTTGATCCCTGGAAAGCTGATGGAGTAGATCGTCCTGGATGCCAGCTCCAAGCATATGAAAGACAAGAATGTGTTTGGGAGCAGTCAGCATGGATTCACCAAGGAGAAAACATGCTTAACCAACCTGATAACCTTCTCTGATGGAGTGACTGGCTGGTTAGATAAGGGGAGAAACACTCATGTTTTCTACGTTGACTTCACTAAGGCTTCTGACACTGTTGCTCATAACCCCTTCAAAGGCAAGCTGATAGAGTATGGGCTAGTGGACCAGACAGTGAGGTGGAACGAAAATGAGATAGATGTCTGAGCACAGAGGACTGTGATTACTGCTGCAGAGTCTAGCTGGAGCTCCACAGGTTCTTTCTTATTTCATCTATTCTGTGATGCTGTGATTCTGTAATTCCTGTGAAATAAAGATCTAAGAAAAAAATATCACTTCCACCTACACTACAGTCTTTTCTTAAGGCTTCAGGCTTCCTGGGCTACAAAAACTCTGCAAGGAGAACATAGATTTCTTTGGCACATTTATTGACAAAAAAGGAAGCAAACTGAGGCAAAGGAAATCACACTGTCCGAACTTCCACCAGTGGCCAAGTAGCTTGTCTATTCTCCTTCACACAGTTATTTCCACATATGTTCTGAAGAATTGTGTTGCATTGACTTTGATTTTCTTTCTGTTTTTAAAACACAGAGTGCTTTACAGAGGTCAGACTGGTTGCTTTATTGTTTGCACATTCTATTATTTCAAAACAGAACAATAGCTTTTATAACTGAAATATATTTGTTATTGTATATTATGATTGCCCTGCAGACCATGAACATCCCTTCAGCTGTGTTTCCCAGTTCCTCCATCATCTGCTGGACTGTTAAACTATGCAAAGGTATAGCTTTGAGAAACATTGCATGCATACATACAAATACAAAAACATATTTAGTATTGAGGTTTTTTTGTTTTGTTTTGTTGGAGTTCAGTGCTGTTTTTTACTTCTTGAGAATGAAATAGTTTGCTATAAAATTCTTCACATCCATCAGAAGCTCTTTTCTAAAGATTTTAGCTCTCTAGAGATAAAAATTCATTTTTTGAGTTTTTTTATTATTTTTACCTCTACTGATTTTCTCACATATTTCCCCATTTTATTTTAGTAGAATAAAAGCCCAAGTCCTGTTTTCACTTACTGATCTTCTGTCTAACATAGCTGAACTCCATTTTGCTTATTCAGGAAGGAACTTTTGAAAGAAGAATGCTGGTCTATTTCATAACAATAAATAAATTGATAATTTCCAATGGTGTTCTTGATTTCTAAGGTTTTCACTTTTTTTTTTTTGTTTTTGTTAATATCCTAGTATCTAGGTGCAAAAGAACATGAGCAGTAGTTTTCAGTCTAACTCCAATCCAGCCTTGGTGTGCTAGTGGAAAACATTTTGTTACACAGAACAAAATCATTATATTTGCTCTCACTTCAATCAAAAATGGAACTATAGAAATTGAAGTCTGGCTTAATCCCATTAAATGTGTTTTATGGTGTCAAAGGTCAAACTCCTGAAGGGCAGCTGTGGGTGGGACATAGTTCAGACCATATAAATTCCTCAGAGCTCAGGCAGTCTGTCTACACACAGCTGGAAAGCTGTACAGCATCTGGTGCTGAAGCTCAAAGGTAAGTACCTCTACGAAAATTTACCTTCTCATTGTATTATTTCTTGCTTATACCTAAACTTAAGTTAATAAGCACTTATTGTGTTATTTGGGGTATCTTTAATATTTAAGTGATATTTTCTACAAAAACTTCTTACCTCCTATACTACTTTACTATGTGTAAAGCCTGCTTATTTGTTTTCAGGAGATGTTTCTAAAGTTTATTCTTTGTGTGTAAAATATGTTGTTATTTCAGAATAGCTTAGCCTTTCATTTGGTATCTTTTAACTCTGATTTTAGCAGCAAAAGAATAGAAAATTGCTTGACTGGTCTCCTGTTCAAAAGAGTGCAGAAAGAACATGACAGCAGCATTCAGTGACTGTGCTAGGTTTATTTGAGTATAATATATCTCTTGCATCCCCCCAAAATACTGCTGCTGGACACTATTATAAAATAAAAGCTTGTGTAAGTACACAGATGTATATTCTACAGTAATCTTTGTAGCAGCTTCAGGGAGAAACAAATGTAAAGCTTTTACTGGCCTATGCTGTAAGAACACATTAAATTAAAAGTACTATATTGTACTACACATGGCTATTTTATCAACTTTGTATTTCTATTCTGTCTGAACATTACTACCAAAATTGAACTTCTCATAAAGGTCAGAGTGTATATATACATTTAAACAAAGCAAGCTGTATCTGAAAGCACAGTCTCAAGCCTTTGAGATGTACTGACAGTTGGTGCTGTGTAACAAGTAGATATTCTACAACATTTATTTTTCAATCAATAAGAGTAGTTAGCAAGCCTTTGCATTCACTTATGTCTGTGCAGAAATAGAGCAAGTCCACTAATATTTACACTGTTGTTCCAACATTTTAAATATGTCAAAGATAGTTCATATTTTCTTAATTTGGCCAAAGGTCAAAGTATCAAGGAATTCCTATTTTCATGGGATGAAAATAAGTACAGGTAATTGTATCAGAAATTACATGTATATTTGAGATCTCTGAAGAACTTTACTGCCAAAAAAAGAATAATAGAAGATCAGAAAGGAATAGATTTATGGATACAGAGTTAATAACATGCATAGAAGGTGGGTATACCAATAGGCATGTTACTGTAGAATGACTTTAAAACTGCCTGTTTGTTGCTTGAGCTAGTACCTCATTACAAAATATCCTGCCTTGAATTATGCTTGGACATCATTCCGTGATTACATTGTCATTGTACTTCTGTTGTTTGCTCTAGGAACACCAATTTCACAATGGGCTCCATTGACACAGCAGCCACAGAATTTTGTTTTGATATGTACAAAGAGCTGAGAGTCCACCATGGCAGTGAGAACATTATATTCGGCCCCCTGACCATCTTTTCAGCCCTGTATGTCATCTACATGGGTGCAAAGGGCAACACTAAGGCTCAGATGGAGAAGGTAAAGCTACAGTTAAGGATTAAACTTTGCTCCTGCTCAGTAGAGCCATGGCACTTAATTATTCAATAATGTCCCTTGGAACTTGCATAATCAAAAGTTAAAAAATCTGGATCCAAAATTATCTAAAATTGGAACGACATCAAATTCCCAGCTCGGAGTGTTAAACAAATACACCGGCCAGAAATCTTGTCAAAAATTTAATTTGAAATGTAGCAATGTTAGCAGCAGGATTCATACAGAGAACAAAATTTTGTTTAGAGTAAGAATACTAAATAAAGCATTCAAGGAAAGAGCCATAACATGTTTCCAGTCTACAAGATGTATCACATAAGTTTTCTACAGTTCCCATATCCTTCATGCAGAATAGCTAGCTTGCTAGCTGGAACAGTTAATACTACTGACAGCATACCTGCAGCTGATCTGCAGATGTTCACTGGAAAAGGGATCAATCAAAGCTGAGAAAAGTATCCACAGATATTCACAGATAGTACAGATGGATTCCAGATTTTTAGCCATCTTTGTTTTCACTCAGCCAATAACATTTGTCAATCTCAGCTGCCTATTTTTTTTTTATCTGTTATCTCTACTATTGGTATTTTCAATTACAGGCTATTCACCTTGATAAAATCGCTGGATTTGGAGAGTCCGTGGAATCTCAGGTACAGAAATAACTTCATCTCCTTGTCTATGTCATTTTTTTCCTGGGAGAAAAATCTATCAGAAAAAGCAGTCTCCTAGCAGCTCCAGACCCTGGAAGCTGGGTTCCCTGATAAGAAGCTAATGCTTTGCATCCAGCTGGGAGTATTTTATTCGTAATAATAGAGAAAGAAGGGAGGTAAAAGCAGCTTTGGAAAAATCACAAGAGGAAACCCAGTATCACAGTACTGGGCAAACAGGAAAAAATACAGATATTTGTATGATTATTCAAGATAGCTGGATAATGCTGAATAAAAGAAACAGTTTAGAAAAGGAGGAAAGACTATTTGATCTGCTGGAGCTAGGTTACTGCAGTTTATAATCAAGAGTCCCTAGCAGCACAGGATTGTATATATTGGGAAATAACTATATCAATATAGTTAGAGCAACATCTAGGTCAAACAGCAGTTATGTAGGCAAAAGTGTCTGAACAAATTATGAAAAGTCTGTAAATACTAAAACTAAAGTAACACCATCTAACTTTTCATTGATATTCATCACAGTGCGGCACATCTGCGAGCATCCAAAATTCACTTAAAGACATTCTCTCTGAAATCAACAAGCCAAGTGACAATTATTCACTCAGCCTTGCCAATAGACTTTACATTGAGGAGACATATCCAGTCCTGCCGGTGAGTTCTTCTAAGATCTGATGTGAGTGAATTTCTGTGTCAAAGATCTGTCATTCTATAATGCAAGAAAACTGTCAGAAGTCTAGGCTCTGTTAAGGAAATATCCTTCTAAACAGAAAAAAGAATTCATGTCTTCACTCTATCACAACTCTAATCCTCTGTAGTCTTCAGAGAAAATGTGTCTAGATAAAAAGATATTTGTGTAAAGCACATCAGAAGATCCAGCCATGTCATGGTGTAATAGGTAAAGGTAACTTTTACTGGAAGGAGTTAACACCAACTATTTCTTAACTTATTAAAAAATAATCATCATCATCATAATTTTTTGCTCCCAAAACCATGCCAGTTGACACTTTCAAAACAAAATATCCAAGTTTTCCAATTGAAAGAAATCTTTTATTTGAAAATTAAAGATAAAGGAAAATACAGTTTCAAAATGAAAAACACACATGGAGAAAAATACTTTGACTACAATAAATCAACATTTTTGGACCAAACTCATTTCTGGAATATATTTTTAATACTGACCATATAATCCTTCTTGAAGCAAAAAGTATGTCAATTCTTAAAATGTTTATGAACTAGAATCATAGTTTATTGCTTAGCTTTACTGAATAACTACAGCAAAAGAACTGCATAGAGCATACCATAAATATGTTACACTATGACACGTATGAAGTATACACTATGAAGTATAATACAGTAAAATACATTGTAACATAATATATTAAAATAGTCTATGGTCAATATCTATTAATTTCAGTCTTGCATTTCACATTCACAAAATGCTTTCAAGTTCTGTTATGAAAAATGCATGCTTTTACATTACAGGAATACCTACAATGTGTTAAAGAACTGTTTAAAGGAGGTGTGGAAAGTGTCAGCTTTCAAACAGCTTATGATCAAGTTAGAGAACGCATCAATTCCTGGATTGAAAGTCAGACAAATGGTAAGGGCAAGATAAGTATCAGCAGGTATTTTTCATTCTGCCACTATATTCAAACAGCATCCAATAATCCTTAAGTTGACAGGGAAAAACACAAAACCTTTGATCTGTTCCTACTCCAGGATGATATATGAGTTTCCAAATACAAAGATACTACATATTAAATTTCCCCCTAGACAGACACATTCCTTCTAGAGGAATCTCTGTATCCGTAGGGGATTTCTAGGTATGAAGGGAATGACAATAGAACATGAGTTGTATGCAATGACTAGTGGTTTGTCCCTAATGCTGAGGATGCTGGACATCCCTCAGACAGTGCAAAAGCAGCATTTCCTTTAAGTGTCCTAGAGATGACAGAATTGCTCTGTACCTGGTAAGTCAGACATGCAATTGCAAGGTGCCTAAGGGGTAAAACGGCAATTGAAAACCATATAGATAAGGAACGGTAGGGAGGTATATAAAATTCATAAAATGAGGTTTCCCAATAGGTGTTTTTTTTCCTACTGCACCTGCATGTGATTCCTCCATTCTTTCAGCCTCTCCCTGGTCCCCATTCCTTTCCCTTATGCCTGAGTCACATGACCTAACATGTGTTAGCAAACATGGATAAAAGGAAAAGGTGGTATCTGGCTAAGATGAAAATATTCAAAACTGCACAACTTCTGGTCTGGTGTCACACTTTGAGGGAGAAAAACAGGCCATGATTAAGCTACTGGTGGAAGAAGAATAATCGAGGAAATTGCTAAATGTTTGAAGACTGCAGAAGAAATGGGAGAGAAATACAAGAAGAAGGAAAAGTAGATGAAGAGAGGAAACTGTGTTTTCTTCTCCCATCTTTGTATAGATGTATCTTTCCTCTCATATATCTTTGTATACGTATCACCTTTCCACTTCGCTTTGAGGCAACTAGTGCTTATGTTCACTGATGCTGTTTGGGATGGGGATCAATCTGGGATAATAAAGGTTCCAGTGGTTCCCTCCTTAATCACAAAATAGACAGATTTAGTCATTCTGTAACAGACAAATCTCTGCCCCGCCCCAAACCCTATACCATTCATTTAGTATTGTGATTGCTAAGCAAGATACATTATACTACTCTCTTTTCCTGTTCTTTCTTTAAGGAGCCATCAGAAACATGTTTCTGCCGGGCACTGTTAACTCTCAGTCTGAAATGGTCCTTGCTAATGCTGTATCCTTCAAAGGAATGTGGGAGAATGCCTTTAAAGATGAAGACACTCAAGAATTGCCTTTCAGAGTATCTGAAGTATGTGAGCATACTTTACATTCAAGATGTCATTTGTAGGATTTACCAAGAGAGTAGATAGCCTTTTATAGAGATGCTACACTAACATAGCTGGTAATCTATCTACTTCTCTTCTGGGAACTGTAATAATCCCAGGGAGATTTCCTAGTGACTATCTCCTCACAGTAACTGTAACTTCTTCTAACAGTAACTGTACTCTGGAGGAAAAAGTTGAGACATCAACTTTTCTTAGAAAAAGTCTACCTGGATAAGAGCAAACAGTAATTTTAACCACAGATATGATTTTTTACACTCTATGAATAAACTTTGCAAAGATTTTTTTTTTTTTTTTGGTTTTCCAGCAAGAAAGCAAACCTGTGCAGATGATGTATCAGGTTGGTTCATTTAGAGTGGCAACACTGGCTGCTGAGAAAGTTAAGATCCTGGAGCTTCCATACTCCAGTAGACTGCTGAGCATGCTCGTGCTCGTGCCTGATAGCATCGCCGACATGGAGCAGGTAAGACTCTAGCAGAGAACTTCAGAGTATCATAAAAACAGTGAAAATGGTTAAAGCTATTTCAGAAAATCAAAAGTACCCAAAATACTATTATTGATGTGGGCAGAATACCAACATGGCATACTGTCACTAGAAAGATTGTAGTTAATCTGGAGAGGAAAAGTTATGTAATAAATCAAAGTTATTGAAACAATGGACAGCGAAAGGACAAGAGGCAATAGCCACAAACAGAAACACAGGAAGTTCTGCCTAAATTTGGGGAAAAACTTGACTTTGATGGCAACAGTGCACTAGCACTGTTGCTTAGAGAGGTTGTGAAGTCTCTGGAGATACTCAAAACCTGACTGGATGAGACCCTGTTAATGGGTTCTAGGTGAATGGGTTCTAGGTAACCCGGCTTGGGCAGGTGGGTTTGACTAGGTGATCTCCAAAGGCCCCTTCCAACCTCAACCATTCCATGATTCTGTTTGTACGTTAATGCAAAGCATCTAGCTTAAAAAGTTGAGGAGGCATTGGAATACAGCTAAATTTCCAACAGCTGTCTTGAAAACATGTTTCTGAAGATTAAGTAGGAGTTTAAGTAGGAGAACAAGCACTGTGCATTATGATTAATAAAGACTGAAAAGGAAGAATGTGGATAAAAGAGAACATGTGTGAAAAAAAATTATCACTTGGATAAAGACAGTAAAAGAGTTTACTGAGATGGTGCCTCTGCACTGTCTCATGCCAAGATATCTAAAAGGGTGATATCTAGCAAATTCACAAGGATATAAATATTACTATACAAAGCAACATTAGTAATAATGAAGGTAATAAACTGTTTTGGATGGTAATTTCTAACAACATTTTTTGCCTCTCAACTGATCACCAGTACAATAAATGATATGACAAAGATAATTTGAACTAAGTGATCTTGTGCTGGTTCAATGTAACTAGAACAAGATATTTTTGATTAAAGTATTCATTTTCATAAATCTAAATTCTCATGTAAGTATTTGTTCCAACTAGTAGGAACAGGCAATTCAGTCATTAGTGATTGGTTACCATTAACAATTGGTTACACAGAGGTCTGAAACGTAGAGAAAACTTACATAAATTAAACTACAGAAGGTTTTTGGAACATATTTCTCAAGAAGAGAGGACAAACAGAAAAGAGCTTTAGGTGAAATTTGCTGAGAAGGTGTCTTATAAAAGACGACTGATTAGTCAGGGGGCTTATTAAACAGAACAGGACAGAGATGTGAAGAAAGAATCATAATTTGCTCTTCTCTGCTAGATACACTAATGTACACACCTCTAGAAGAAACACTGTGCCAAGAGCAGTCAAGAAAGAGAGAAAAAAAAGAAGACAATAACACAAAGGAATTTATGTCCTTGTCCCAGGGATCTCATTCTCTTATCTCTTTGCAGCTGGAAGCTATAATCAGCCATGAAAAACTAAACGAGTGGACCAGTCCCAATGTAATGGAAAGGAAGACAGTGAAAGTGTACTTCCCTCGCATGAAACTTGGGGAAAAATATAATCTCACATCTGCCTTTATTTCTATGGGCATGACTGATGTGCTCAGCTCTTCAGCCAATCTGTCTGGCATCTCTGCAGCACAGAGCCTGAAGATGTCTGAGGCCATCCATGGGGCATATTTGGAAATCTATGAAGCCGGTAGTGAGACAGGCAGTTCTGCTGGTATCCAGGTGGATGCTGCAAGTGCTTTGGAAGAGGTGAGGGTTGACCGCCCATTTTTATTCGCTCTCAAACACATTCCACGCAATACCATTCTCCTCTTTGGCAAATGCATTTCCCCTTAAAGAGTTTCTGTCTTCCAGAGCAAGACCCAAAGCATCGTAGTATCAAGCATAAAAAAAGGCATAGTATTCACTAAATCTATATTTCCTAAAACCAGAAAATTGGTTTAAAAATATTTATTTTATTAAATCGGAGAATAGTTAACACAGGAAATCAAGCCTCTTATCTTTTCTAAGGCAAC